CCCCAAAACCCCAAAACCCCGAGATGACTATCAGCTGATTAAATATTAATTTATATTTTAATGTAAAATGAATTATTATCTCCTAAAATAATTATTATAAAAGCCAATTATGTTATTAAGGGTAATTTTATTTATCAAATAGTCAAAGATGGCTTAATCAAAATTTTTCCTTCACTTGAATGTTCAAGATAATAATCATATGCTTCTTAAATCTAGTGAAGTCCAAAAGATTTTGAGAGTTTTTATTCTGATCTAAATGTGTTAATCTGTTTAAATAATCCAGCAAACTACCAGATATATTTTTACTCAATCCAATAGGGCAATAGAAATGGAATGATCTTAACATTTTTCCAGAGCATATGATTTGGTTCAATCCCAGACAATACATATTATATTTTGTCGAAGGCTTTTCAAAAAATTAAGCAATTTACTAAATGGTTATTCAGAAAGTAGTCCATATGATATGATTGTCCCTCTAGGTTATATTGCTTCCATTAGTTTTCCTACCATAGAACCTGCTACACAATCAATGATAACATTCACTTTTAATGTTTTGCACATCTCATTCAATTCTTGCTAGAAATTGGGGCTTTCAGAATTTAGGACATATTGACAGCCATATTCTGTTTTAAGCTACTCAATTTAATCTTGCTTTCTAACAATATTGATCATAGGAATACCTCTGTCTCTAAAAAGTTTGTCCAAGTATCTTCCACATTGAGACATAGCTCCAGTCTAAGCGCCTGCAATTACTCCATTCCATTTACAGTAGTCCATTAAACCCAGGGTTGTCATTGGATTCACAAAATTATTTGCTCCTTGATCAAAACTTATGTCATCAGTCAATGGGTTACAACTCATAGAGCTTGTGATAATGTATTCAGCAAATGATCCTTGTTAAGTGAAGTCTGTCGGATTAGCAGATGGCTTAATAAAACTAACTCTTTTGCCGACAAGTCTCCAACCTAGTAAACCACCACCATTTTCAATAACAATTCCACTCCCTTCAAAACCAAGTATCATGGGATACTTATAGTTAATAAACTTCGAATATTTGCCACTCATAGTATGCTTATCAGATGCTACGATGCATGAAGCCTCTACTTTTATCAATACCTCGCCAGGTTAAGGTCTTGGAATGTCGAAATAATCCGGTAAGTACTTAAATTCTCCTGGTGCTACTAGAGCAGCTGCCTTCATCTTCTTTGGGGCTTATTGTTCCATTCTATTATTGTCAAATCAATATTTAATTACTCCTATTGAATGATTATTTTTGATTCTGCAACATGGGGTTTTGGGGTTTTGGGG